GGTTAATTGGGAAAATGGAATCAAAGTCTCTGATCTAGCCAATGGCTTTGTCAGAATACAATAGTTTTTACCAAAGAAAATTAGGAACACAATGAGCAGCTATTCTTACTAGTTGCCATCTTGTCAATCCTAGATGCACTGAGGTTGATGGTTGCTACAAATTTATAACTAGGCACTCACATGAGCACGAAAAGAGAGTCGTCTGGGAGCTCTCATCATTTCTTTTCCCATATTTGTGATGCCTTGAAAGCATCTGTAGTGGGATCATTCAGGTRTCATCCCAAAATGGGTGAAACTTTGATTTAGAAACACAGGACTAGAAAGAGATTCCTGAATCCAGAGTCCAATCTGGCAAAAAACTACTTGTTTTAGTGAATAACTTATTTTTTTCTGTCCCTTTGCAAGGGAGTGTCCTTTTCCTTCTTTCAAGGAAGGTGAGCTTGGCTTCTGAAAGAGATSAAAATAGAAAAAACTGATCAAGGGKTTTACAGAAGCTAAGAAATAAATTAAAACACTTACGTTCATCTCAATCAAAGCACCACAAAGCATGCAAGCAAGAAGGAGGAAGCAGCCCCTCCTCATCAGCAAGAGGAGAAGGAATGTCCTGCCCTCACTGAGGAGCTCAGCTGGAGCCTGGCGCAGAAGGCCCTTTAGACCCCCTGAGGGATGATGGCCTTTGTCCCCAGAGGTTCAGGGCACTGCTGCARTGGTTTTCACCCCATAATCAGCTGTTTCCCAAGGAGCAGCCTGGGCTGTTTCTAGGGATCATGTCTGCATCTCCCTGGCATTCATGCCCTGCTTCATTAGGTCATTCCATGTGCTTTTGTACCAACATGTCACTTTTCTTCTCCCTGAGCTGCCTGCATAACCGGACATGCCTTTGCCAGAATCATGTTCTGCTGACTTTCCTTAGCACTTAGGAGCTGTTTGCTCCTGGAAGGCCTCCAATACCTTCTTTGGCATCAATTCAACTTTTGATTTGGGCTATAACTGCTTTAAACTTTCGTACTCTGACTGCCAGTCAGTCTCAGGTGAGATCCAGGGCAAATATAGGGTCTTCTGATGTGTAGTTTGACTATGAAGCACTGCACCAGCACTGTTGTGTCAACAGAAGTACAACTTGATGACTTCCCCTCTCATGCCTGCCACTGAAATGCAGAAGAGAAATGATGATCCTGCACAGGCATCTGGAAGCAGGAGCTAATTCTCCCTCAGCAAAACTCCCCTTGGTTTTCCAAAAGAAGAGCTCTGCTTTCTGTTAGAAAGCAAAGGAATTACTTGGAAATTGGTACTTACTGCTGACTTTAGGGATTTTCTTCTTTTTTATAAAGCAAATATTGTCTTCATACCACAGATCCAGGCTGCTCAACAAGCTGCTTAAAGTCACAGAACACGGACTGGGGGTTGCTCAGTATTTTAGAAAGGAGGCATTTTTTATAGATATCATCCAAGTTCTCTGTGTATGTGCTTTATAATTCTACCTACGGAGAAGTATGAAAAACCTTTTGCTTCCTTACCCCAAACCTAAAGCCTTTCTCAGGGAATTCTTATTTTTGAAAAAGAGCTATGCCAAGGAAAAAGCTACTATGGGCATTCTTATTGTAATGTGATGACAGCAGGAGAATCTACCCAGAGAAGAGCAGATGTCTCATTCTACTCTCCACCTACCTGCCCATTTGGGACCAAATCCTCTGATTTCTTGGATTTTGTCCCCCTACTGCCAAGAATACCTTCTATGGTACTCCCATCGTACAGGTGTTTTCAAGGGACATCTGCTCCAGCACCTGCGAGGCAACAGACAGCTCTGACCCAGAGACCCCCATCAGTCCAACTTGACTCAGAGGGCTCAGGCCATGGGTCACCTCMACCAGCTTGCCTCTTCCATATGGTTCCTTCAGTTCAGCGTCATAGTCCAACTACTGGCCTCATCCAGAAAACAAAAAGCTGTTTTGTACCTTTTTGCACTCCTCTATAGGGCATGAGGAATCCAAAAGAAACTGAAAGGCTGGTGGTTTATTTGTTTGAGGGGTGGGAGAGGAGAAATGCTTGAAATTGAACATGGATATAATTTACTTGGGTGCTTCCTTTTAGTACAAAGTGCTTCGTTGCCTGGAAGATGCATATGCCTTGGAAATCATCAAGCATCTGAGGAAAATTCAGAAAATAAATGTTCACTGACAAAGAGGGAAATAGATGTAGGTATGGGATGTTTAAAAAATATTGAGTTGGTTTATTTATCTCTACTAAACGTCTTGGACACACGAGACCACCACGCACACTGAGCAGTCAAGGCAAGCAGCTCTCTGGAAGGTCCTACAAGCAAGAGCTGGAAATCCCACAACTATCAGTGCTCCAGACAGCTGGGAACGTGCTGCTGAAGGGTTGCAGGAATGATCCCAAAGCAGTGGACCAGCTCAGGCTGGTGCAGGGAGAGGCTGCTGCCACCCTTGCAGTGCGGAGCCCCATGCCCTGCCGACCCTGTGCCACCCCAGCTCCATGGGCATGGAGAAATGCCAGCAAAACCATGCCAAGCAGCACCCATTCCACCCTCAGACCCACTGTGATTAATTTACTTATGGCCTTTCATAACTCTGTAGTCATCTTTTTTTTTCAAAAAAAAAAAAAATTTTCACGCTGCCATTAATTATTCCTGGAAGCAAATAAAAGGGGCCACCGATATCTTTCCCTCCCTCTCGCTACAGCCGKCTTTTCCTTAGGGAGAAAAAACTTGTACTCGCTCGCAGTGGGACAATGCCGACTTTTGAACCTCTAACCACTAAACAAACAAACCTTGCGCTCTGCTCCACAATCCAAACAGGGTTTATTGACAGGCGTATCACAGCAACCCCTAGCAACTCCGGCGGCAGCGGGGCCTGCGGATCAATGCTGCGGGGGCGGCCCTGGGCACCGGGGGGCATCCTCCGGGGGACAATACCCACCCGACGGTGCCCATGTCCCGAGCATGGCCCCAGGTAGCMCTTCTGCCCCTAAGTCCTGCTAAGGGTGTGTTTTATCAGCTCTTGGCTTGGGCATTGATCCCTGTTCAGCCTTAGGTATCCCTGAGAAGCAGGTGCTCCAGGAAAACCCAAGACCCCTTTGAAAGCCAAGAAAAACTGRCTTGGCTCTTGCATCCCGCTAACGGAGTCATGGACATGCTGCCTGGAGCCAGTAGGACGTGATGTGTGTCAAGGTGACCTGAAAGGAATATGATGGCCTTGAGTGCTGCACCCATGGGGCAGGAAATCAAGTGGGTTCCTTGCTCTGGAGATGCTGAGTCCCACCATGGGCTCCCCCAGGCACAAGAGCCCTGGCTCAGCCTTTGCCAGCCGGTGCTCAGCACTTCCTTGTCCTCTCCTAGGTCCTCTCCTTGCCCATGGGGCAAGGCCCTGGCAAACTCAGGTGCCCTCTGCAGCGCTGCTGATCGTGCTGGCATGTGATGTTGGCCTTGAGCAGGAGGAGGAGAAGGAGGGTCAGAACAGGGAATTAAAAAAAAAAAAAAAAAAAAAAAAAAAAAAAAAAGCCCCATAGGGGACAGATGGAATTTTTTAAAGATATTTGATAAGGAAAGAAGAATGACATGCGGCCAAATGTTGAAGAAATCTGAAAAATAAAAAAGAAAGAAAGAAAAAAAAAAAAAAAAAAAAAAAAAGAAAAAAAAAAAGCCCCATAGGGGACAGATGGAATTTTTTAAAGATATTTGATAAGGAAAGAAGAATGACATGCGGCCAAATGTTGAAGAAATCTGAAAAATAAAAAAGAAAGAAAGAAAAAAAAAAGACAGAAAGACAAAGATACAAAGACAAAAAGTAAAGCAGATAGTGGGACTGGGCTTTTGGACAGTGCTCCCAGTCCTGGTGAAATCCATGCCCATGTGAGCTGGTCTCAAACCCAAACCCAGCACCAAAGTCTGTGAGAGTGCTCCTTGATCCAGTSTCCAGACTGAAGCACGGCCCCACTTCCCAGCCGAATTTCTCCTGATTCAGAGCAAGAAATGCACAGAGAAAAAAATATAGTCAGTTTAACTAGGCCAAACTGAACAGGCCTTTCCTCTTTTCCTCCGTGGCCAGGACTGGTAAGTTGGTTCATACTGCCTGTCCCATTGCCCGTTGTTCCCAACATTTAACCAGTGGAAATGGGTCACAGGCYGTCACGGGGAGCCTGTGATCTACGGGGCCTGAACCAAGACTCTTGTGCATAAGGAGAGAAAAACAAGTAGATATCCAAAAAAAAAAAGAACTGGGAAAAAAACTCCCCAAAAGCCMAAAGTGTAAGAAACTAAGAAACAGCACCTAATTTCAATGACGGGACATTACAAGCAGTGCAAAAGGGCATTAGACACTTTGCAGTGGCACTCTGCACACACACGCAATCCAGGATCCCCACTCCAGCACACAACTGGACACAGTTTTGAGAGGAGATTTCCCTTCTTCCAATTTCTCCACACTGYGGCTAGTAAATCTGGCCGGATGACTATCAGCGCTGGATTTATGGGCTGTTTTACAAGTATCTAACATTAAGCAATTCACTTCTGAACATTTAAGCACTGCCTTATCTTGTCTGTCCTGGCCCTTAGGGCAGGATGAACATTTTGCATATTTACGGTTGCAAGAAAAAAAAAATAAAATAGAATAAAAAATGTGCTTTAATTTTTTTTTCCTGTTAAAATTTGTCGCTAACTCAACAACATTTCTAAGACCTTTCCAACCGATCCCTGAGATATATCGGGGAGAGCCCCGACGGGCAGCGCCCGCGTTCCCCAGTTATCTAGCAAAGTCCAGGGAAAAAAAAAAAAAAAGAACAAAACAAACATAATAATAATAATAATAATAAAGCCCTGGCCACGCTGCCCCCCCCGGACGACGAGACACAGACACTGTACACTCTGTACACAAGGCCCCGCGGGGCGTCCTAGTGCATGGGCGGGGGGCAGCGGCGGCCCCCGGCGCTGCGCGGCCCCGCGGCCCCGCGCGCTCCCTGCAGTCCGTGCGCTGCCGCGGCGCTCAGTGCGCGCTCACTGCGCGCCCGCGGGGCCCTGCAGCGCGGGGCTGAGCGGCTCCGCGCCGGGCTGCGCCTGCTGCAGCTTCTTCTTGTTGATCTTCCTCTCCTTGGCGCGCCGGTTCTGGAACCAGATTTTCACCTGCCGGAGGGGAGAGCGCGGTTTGACCCTTGTTGCTTCCCAAATTCCCTCTCTTCCCCGCCTGTTCARCCCGTGCGGGGCGCCCCGCTGCCCCCCGCCGTGTCCCCCCGCAGTACGCGGTTGTCGCCGGGACGCACCTGCCTCTCGGAGAGCCCCAGGTTGGAGGCGAGCTCCGCTTTGCGCCGGATGGTGATGTAGCGGCTGTAGTGGAACTCCTTCTCCAGCTCCAGCCGCTGGTGGTCCGTGTACACCACGCGGTACTTGTCTTTCGTGCGGGTTTTCACTGGGGGGAAGAAGGGCACGGTGTGAAGAACAGCGACCCAAACGGGGGGGATCGCGCCCCGCGGGAGCGCGGTGAGCAGGGGGAGGCCGCCTCGCCTTGAGCTCGACTCTCCTGCATGGGGCTTTACGGAGAGCTGCAAACAGAGCGGCGTTAAATCCCCTCAGACCCTGYGGAGATGCTGGAGAAATCGCGGGGATGTCATTTGTAATCAGAAAGCGAGAGCGGGGTACGAGCCCCGGCCGCCCGCGCCGAGCAACTTCCAGCCATTTCGCTTAGGACACCTTCATTTTGCGCGCGTGTTGTTGCGCGTTTGGCTGCGCTTTCCCTATCGAGAACAAAAATCGAAGTGGGGATGGAGAAAAATAAATAAATAAATAAATAAATAAATAAATAAATAAATAAATAAATGGGAAAAGTAAGAAGAAAACTTCAATTCCGGGCCCGGCGGGAGTGACGGGGGGGACCCAACGCTAACCACGAACCTCGGGGCCTCCCCGGGAGCAGCTGGCAGGGTCTCCCCGGGTCCCGCTTGCAGCTCCTGCCTTCCTGGTGCCCCTGGAGGGGCTCCAAGCACTGTCAACCCCCTCAAACTAAGAAGTCAGTGCGAAGGAAGCGGAGTGYGGGCGAATGCCTGCATGCATGGCGAGCATGCATGGCTGCCTCAAGCGCCCTGCTTTTTTTTCTGATTGTTTCTCGTTTAACTGGTTGCAGCCCCGGCCCTGTAGCCCAGCAAAGATCTGAGGAGCGGRGAGTTTCTGCCCCCTAGGTGCTTAATGGCCAGCGGGCTGACTTTGTTCAGGTAAACTCTCCGCAAATCGCAACAAAAGCACCCTGTAAAGATACAAGGCTGATCAGAGCAACCTCCCCAGAGCCGGTGAATAGGGAACACAGCCGCAAACAATGCCGGACAAGGCGATCTTATCAAAGAACCCCCTTCTCAAAGCCTTAATGACAGCCGCATTCTGTTTGAATTACCACTACTGAACAAATGGCGGCGGGCGCTTTCATCCCCCCCAGCCCCGCGCATTAACATAAACACAGGCTCCAAAGGCAGCATTTGAATGGGGACAGGGCAGCGAGCGCCGCGGAGCAGGCCCGAGCGCGGGGAGCACCGCGGGCTGCGCTGAGAAGCGCGACCTGCCCGTCCCCGGGCTGCCCCCGCCGCAGAGCTCTGCGCGGAAGGCGGTGCAAGGGAGAGGGGGGGCAGGAAACATGATTTACTGCGAAATTTGCCACTTTTTCTCTGCCCTTTTTTCACTAATAAATTGATAAGTGCAAAGGGGAAAAATGAAGGGSGCGCCAAGGAGGCAGGAGGAGGGCTGGGGGATGTCAAAGCCGGCGGGCGCGCATCTCCGCGCYGAGGATCCGGGGGGGACCTAAAAGCGAGCCCGGCTTCTCCGCACGGTATTAACATGGCAAGGGAGCGCAGCGTCGGCTTCTTGCCCCGCGTGGGCTGGGGGGGCACGCGCGACTCGCAGTGGCCCCGTGGACCKAGGATGGGGGACCGTGACGCGTCAAGGGAGCCGCGTGTGGGCCGCGCGTGTCCCTCTTGGCGCTGTTGGGAACACCACATATCCCGCGTGGGACGTCGCGTGTCCTGCGTGGGGCTGCGGGGGGCCCGCAGCGCCCAAGGCAGGCCCGGCTGCGCGGGGATGTTAGCAGAGGGTAGGCGCCCAGTCACTCAGAAACAAATGCGAAGCGACAACGGCCGATGATTTATATGACTATAATTGGTTATAAAAATCTTTTAAGTGGCTATAAGTGGACGAGCGGAGCAGAGGGAGGAAGAGCGAGCGTTTCCCCGCGGTGCCAGCCAGTTCCGCGCCCTGCTCCGACCGCTCCACGAACGCGYCCCCGCGGGCCCCCTCTGCCCCGACGGGGCGCACGGGCCACCCGTGGCCCGCGGGGYTCGGCGGCTCTGGGCAGAGCCGCTCCCCGAGCCCCGAGGAGCGGCTGTCACAGCAGGCCTGGCGCCTCCGCTGCTTCCCAGCAATAACCAGATGTGAAGTAGCGCCGGGACCCGCGAAGACCGTCTCTTGAATCGGTTTGTCCATTTGTTTTGTTTTTTTWAATTTATTTTTACCAAACCCATTTTTGGACGGCAGCTGCAGATTGCTCCACCACGAGCACATCCAGCACGGGGCAGCCTTGGGGGGCCGCAGCCGGCAGCGGGGACCCGCGGCGGCCCCGGCACCGCCTGCCCGGTCCCGTCCCGTCGGAGCGGGCGCGGGGTGCGCCCCGCCGGTTCCCCCCCCACCACCGCTTTTGGATCCGCGCTTACCCTGGCTGCTGAGCGGGGTCTGCGCGGGCTTCCTCATCCACTCGCAGAGGCCGCGGCGCTGCCCGCCGGGGGAGAGCGGCTCGGGGGCGGCGTTGGCGGCGCCCAGGGGCTGCATGACGGCGGCGGCGGAGCAGTGCGGCGCGGGCCCCGCGTGGTGGTGGTGGCCGTGCGGGGGGTGGTGGTAGTCGGCGGGGCTGTAGGCCATAGCGGCGGCGGGGGAGCCGCCGTTGAGGCCGTGCACGGCGCCCGCCGCGCTCGCCGGAGCCCCTTGCCCRTAGGCGGCCCAGTCGTCGCGGAGGGGCGCCCCGTAGGGCGCCGGCCAGGCCGGCCCGGGCGACTGGGCGCTCTCGAGGTTCACATGGTATCCGCCGTAGTCCGCGTACTGCGGCGCGCCCACGAAGTTCTGCGCCGCCAGGTTGAGCCCCCCCGAGTGGCGCACGGGCCCGGGGTACATGGGCCCGTCCTTGTCCAGCAGGTAGCTCACGTACATGACGGCGGGGCCCCGGCGGCCGCTCTCCGCATCACTGCCCGGGGCCCGCGGAGCTGCGCGCTGCGCCTGCGGACGGGCGCCCCGGGGCGGGGAGGGGGCAGGCGGAGGGGCCGCGGCCCGCGCTCCCGCTCCCGCTCCGAACCCAATGGCCGGCAGCACTTACATGATTAACGATTGTTTACAAGGCTCTATTAGTAATGGGCCAGACACACCAAAGGCAGGTGACGTGGAGAGGCGCTCGGTATATAGCTACTAACCCCTAAAAGAAGATTTGCATTTAAAAAGATAAGGAGAGGGCAGCGACCTGATCACAGCTAAATATTCAAGCCTTTATTGTTTAAGAGCTTCCTCCTTCCATTGCAACCTGGTGCACTTTAACCTCCAATCACAGGTTCAAAGGATGAAATCAAGAGACTTGCAAAAGGCAGAGAAGGAGATCTAAGGGCGAGGGTGGGAAGATGGGAACCGTGTAGCACGGGCGAGCTGCGGGCAGCGCTTTAACCAGCTCTTCACCGCGCTTAGGGCTGGAGGGGGGGTTAGGGGCGGAGGAGGAGGCAGTTTTGATTAAAAATCTGCAAAGCAATTTTGCCTTGGTGGTTTTAAGCAACAAACAGCACCGCGGCGGCCTATCGCTCTTTCCAACGCTCATTCCACCCGCTCCCAGTCGGTAACGGGCGATGGAGGCGAGGTAAGAGGAGAAATCTGCCCGTTTTCCAAGGGGGTAGCTTAATCTCTCTCGTTTGTGGCAGCAAAGCTTCGAAGAGAGAAGCTGTTCTTCCCTCGCATCAGCCCAAGCCCTTGTCCTAGTGCTGGCCCTATCCTCGAAGTGCGCATTCGCATTAAATAATAATAATAATAATAATAATAATAATAATAATAATAATAATAATAATAATAATAATAATAATAATAATAATAATAGTGAAGTGGATGCAGCGAGACTAGAACGTCTTTGAGCCGCACCGGAGCCACGCAGGGGATCCCGGCTCCTTCTCAGCGCGGAAGCCTCAGAGGGGAAACGGAGCTCCCCGAGCCCCTGCGAAACAACGATCTGCTCCTCTTGGCTCAGTCGTCATTTTATTTTATTTTTTTCCTTTTTATTTATTATGCTGACTCCTTGGAAACCGGTTCTCTTTGAAGAAGCGACCCCCCTTCTCATCTCGCCCTGCCGCTTTTATGCCTTAACTCTTCACCCTGAGCGGGGACAATGCAAGAAAACGCTTGCATATTTGCATGTCTTCCTCTGACACCGYGATGAAACCCCTCGCCCGCGGGGAGAGCTGCGTGACCGTGAGAGCCTGGGCCCCGTTTTCCCACCGCGGTTCGCGGTCGTCCCGCGGAGCTTCGCGCAGGGCCCGCGGCTTCCCCGCCGCCGAGCTCGAGTTCTCCTCGACTTCTCGTTACCCTCAGGGTGTTTTTCCTCCCTCAGCAGTGACTCTTGTGCACACACACACACATACAAAAAAAGACACCCGGAGGTGGTTTTCCCGGAGGGATTTGCAGCCACAGGCGGGTTTCAGCTCCTCAACTGCGGCCCCCTCCTGCGAGTTTTGCTCCTGCAAAATCCCGCTCTTACCCTTGCTTTCCAGTGCCCCCTGGAAGCCTGGGTATTCCTCCAAGCTATATATATGAGAGAAAGAGAGAAAGAGAGAAAGAGAGAAAGAGAGCGAGAAAAAGAGAGAGCGAGAGAGCAAGAGAAAGAAAGAAAGAAAGAAAGAAAGAAAGAAAGAAAGAAAGAAAGAAAGAAAGAAAGAAAGAAAGAAAGAAAGAAAGAAAGAAAGAAAGAANGAAAGAAAGAAAGAAAGAAAGAAAGAAAGAAAGAAAGAAAGAAAGAAAGAAAGAAAGAAAGAAAGAAAGAAAGAAAGAAAGAAAGAAAGAAAGAAGAAAAAGAGCAGGAATGACTGAGCGACAATTCCCGACTTGTCTCCTGAAGGGATCCGGGAAAGCCCCGTGACTCCGTGTCTGCTCCCGAGGGCCACCCCGAAGTGGCGCGGTGGGACCCCACATCTGGCGCAGCCCTCGCCGCAATTTAAATATGTCAATGCTCAAAAACGAGGGGTTGCCGACATTTATTGTATCATATTATCATGTCACAGGCGGGTACTGTACTCATGTACTGTATACATACTCACACATATATATGTATATACACATTAGTGAATTCAGTGTATGCKCAATAAATAAGTGTCCGTACAGTCACTTCTCGTTGATAGTCTCTCGCCATTCTGATCCTACAATATCAACGAAATAACAGTGCAGACGGAGGAAASGCCAGCCGCTCTCTCCGCACATGATTCCTCTCTCTGCTGCTGTTTTCCACCACCAACCCTTAGAGCCCCCCTGCCCCGCACGGGGGTTAACGGGGAGAGGGAGTAGCCCCCAGCGCCCTCCGAGCTGCCACTGAAATGTAACTGGGAAAGGAGCGCTGTGCGCCCTCGGTGTAATCGCCTCTCCTGATAAGCACCGACAAAGCCGATCTATGCATATGTGAATTTGATGAAGCCATAAACGGAAGACAAGGCCATTAAAATGACAAAAATCCGAACACGCTGTATTAAAACGCACCTAATCCGAGCCAGTGCCCGGCTCGGCTGGGCCCGGGGCCTGAGGCGCACGGTGGCCGCGGGCAAGCGGCTCCATGCGCGGAGCTCCGACKGGCAGCGCTGCGGGGACGGGACCTGTGGCCACCGCGAGCACGGGGGGCGAGGGCGGTGACGGAGCCCGGAGAGGTGACACGGACAGGGATCTTTGGGCGAGCAGCAGATCTGCCACGGAGCAGGTCAAAGCCTCGTGGCTTGTGCTGCGGAGTTGGACAGGACTCCTAGGCTATTCCCTGCGCTCTCACCGGCTCCAGAGACGGCCCCGAGCTCGGTGGATCGGGGGCGCCTCGGAGCCCGGTTGCGTGGGCCGCTTTGCACGGGGATGGGACCTCGCTCCGAACCCCCCTCGGCACCCGGGGCAGCTCCACTTTCCGAACCCGCTGCTTAAACCAAGAGCGGCCCCGTCCCGCACTCAGACTGCTCCGGGGCCGAGTCTGCGCTCACCCACTGTCCCATCTCGCAGGGGTCGGGCCCGGGGGTCCGATTTGAACGTCGAGGGGCGTTGAATTGTCACCCTTCACAGGAATAACCTGAGGGGCSTTCTACTCACTGTTCCTTTCCCTTCTTGCTTTTCTCTGTTCYCAGAGCGAGTCTGGGAACAGCAGCTCCCCAAGCCTGGCATTCSCTTCCCATCCTTTCCCGCGTGCCTGGGCGCTCAGAGAGGGGTTCATCTCCTCTGGACTGGGGCAGGAATCTCCCACAGCGATCTCCCCCAAACMAGGAGCTTTAAGGAAGAGGGGAAAGACCTCGAGCCGTTTCTTTCTCACTCGGCTTTCCCCCCTTTCACCCTGCGGCATCGAAAGGTGTTTGGCCATGGGGAGTCCCCGAGGCGGTTCTAGCTGCCCGCTTGCTCCTTCACTCCCCATCTCAGGATTTTCTGACGCCTCCGGACCAGACCCGCAGCTCCGGAGCGGAGCGTGTCCAGTCGGGGACCCCCTGTGCGGCCGCAAGTCCCGGGCGCAGCTGCGCGCCGGGTCCCCGCACGGGCGAGGCCCTCGGCTCTAGCTCCTGCTTTCCTTCTTTACATATATATATATGTGTGTGTGTGTGT